CTGTGATGATTTTTCCAGATTATATGTTCAGTAAAATATAAAAACAAAAAAGTAGTTCATAATGTGTTGAACCACTAAAAAATCAGAATCTCTTAACACTTTGGTTGCAACATCTGGGGTAGACATGAGATAATGAATTGAAAATTATCAAGAAGAGCCTTCCTGCTTTTGGAACAGGCTTAACTCACTGATGCAGAAGTAATGTTTCAATTTATTTATTATCCCCCTTGGGTTGTGAGCCGCCCTGAGTCCCCCCAGGGAAAAGGGCGGCATATAAATAAACTTCTATAAATAAACTTCTACAATTTATCAAATTTAGGTATTGGCCATCTCACTCTCAGAGATGTACAGTGATTCAAAGCAGTTCCATGGTTCCATACAGTCTGAAAGATGTTTATTAGTTCATTTTATTTCAAAGGAGAAGAAATATTGAAGAAGGACATGGTGCTACTGTGCAAAGTTCAGCTCTCTTATCCCTGAGTCTTTTGGAAGTGGGCGGCATACAAAACTAATAAATACAAATACAAATACAATGTTCAGTCAGCAGAGGATATTGAAAAAATATAGGGAGAGATTTCCAAGCATCAGGTTGGAGGGGAAAGAAATTATACTGAGAATCCCTATCTTAGATGAAAATCTAGGTTTCATTTTATTTAAAATCTACAGGATTTTTCTGGGAGAATTTGCTTGCAGGTTGGGAACCAATGTCATTAATACATTAAGTGGATTGGATGAACAATTCATTTTTAAAAAAGCTACTGATGCCCAGAGCAGCATCTACACTTACCATTAATGGAATTATGCAAATTAAAAGAAATAAGTATGGTCTAATATTATCATTTAAAAAAAAAACTTCTCAAAATCAGTGATGTTACTAACAAGCTGGCAGCAGCATAAATTTTACCCTGATCAGGTAACATTATACTATTGTGATAAATTATCTATACTCTGGATGTATTTTCTTTCACCTTTGCAATTGTTTTAAGGGCCTTAAACAAGAGTGATGTCAGATTCATAAATCTGCCATTCTTCTGGTTACATTTATACTTTATTATACTTTGTATACTTTTATACTCTATTGCTTTCTCCCCTGTGTATCCTGTATCCTGTAGCCTAGGGGTGAAATTCAGCATGTTCTGACAGGTTCTGGAGATCCGGTAGCGGAAATTTTGAGTATTTTGGAGAACTGGCAAATACCACCTCTGCCTGGCCCTGCCCCCATCTATTCTCTGCCTTCCGAGTCCCAGCTGATCNAAAAAAGAGCGCAGATGTTTAACAAACTTAGGAAACTGACGGAAGACATAACCTGCATACAGGAAGTGCACATTAAAAGAGAACATATTAATTTACTGGAAAACCAAAAATTAGGGAAACTATATACAGCACTGGCAGATTAAAAAACAGAGGTATAGCAACCTATATAAAGGAAAAAATAAATTCCAAAGCAGTCTACTCTGATGAAGAAAGCAGGATTCTAATGATTATAGCTGTAGCTGACTGGATTGCCCAGGCAGAGGCCTGGTGAATCTTGCGGAAGTCTCTGCCATTTTATTCTCCACTTTCATATCTTTCATCAGATCGAATACCCCCTCTGGCCACTGAAGCATCTACCTTGGGCACGTCAATGAACAACTAAGGGGATGGGATTACCTCTTGTTCCACAGTTGACTCTGTGAACAGCTGTTCACTAGGATGCTATGGCTCTTTCGGCGACTCTGTGGGATAATCTGTCAATATCATATTGGTTGTAGATCTAGCCTTATAAAGGAGAGATTTAAAGAGGGCTGGTCTGAATAGGCCGGTGAAGGTGGGTCATCTAGGTCTATGCCCTCGTCCTCTGATAGTTCCTGGTCACCAACCTTTCATTTGATATTATTCTCATTATTTTCTTATCAGTTTCTATATTTTTCATAAAATAGATTTTTTAGTTTTTCTGAGACTGACATTTTTTATGATAAGAAATTTCTTATATATGAAATGTCTATGCTAATCCCTCTGTATTATAACCTTGACACAAGATTTCTTACCTCCTTTCTGAAATTATTTCAGAAAAAAAATTGGTGAACAGGAGTTAAGATGGAGGACAGGGCAGCAACATTTATAAAGAGCTCTTCCAAAAGTAAATTAGTTTTTTTAAATTTATATATAAATATTTATATATATTTAACTCATTTTAATCTATTTGTAATCTATATGTAAGTATTTTTTATATTTTAACTCATTTTAAATCTATTTTTAATTACGTCTCTATTAGGCAGACTGAATTGAAAAACTGAGGGGACACCAGATAGAGGAGGTGTGGTCAACAATTATCTCTAGGCAAGCAGACCAGAATTTAACCCATGAGTGGATGCTGTAAGCAATGCACAGGAGAATGGAAGATTATACTGCAAACAGGCAGTCTAACCAGTAAGTAACTCATCTGCAGTCATCTTAACAGATAAATGTAATTTATTTGACTCATTGGAATGGGACTTACAAACCAAACTTGAAAGCAAACAACATGTAGAACTGTCCTCCTCCCTCTCAGAGAATGGTTCCCCTCCTTGGAACTCAGCAGCAGCCTTCCTTGCACAGGAAGGAGATGTAATAAATTTAAAGAGGGAAAATGTGACAGGTTTCCTCTCTAGACAATGTTTGCTTACAGCTCAAACTGTAAACTCAATCTATGAATAAGGTGACCAGATTTTCAGATTGGTAAAGAGGGACACCATTGACCGGGGGTGGGGGTGGGGGGCTTGATTAAAAATTTTATATTTTGTCAAAAGNATACATACATACATACATACATACATACATACATACATACATACATACATATATGTTAATTCTCCTTAACTACTATTTTTCAGCTTTATGGACTTCCTTCATTGATCCTTGTTTCTTACCTCCATTCACCTATACCGTTTATCCCATATCTGGTAATATTCTGTTTCTTCTTGTCCCTGATTTCTTTTGTTAATTTGTCCATTTCAGCACAGTCCATAACCTTTCTTATTATTTCATCTTCACTTGGTATTAATTTATTTTTCCATTTCTGAGCAAAGGTAATCCTCGCCAACGTAATTATATGTAAAATCAAATACTGGATTTCTTTTTTATATTTCGCAGTAATTATTCCTAGTAGAAAAACGTATGATTTCCAATCTATTTTGACTCCTGTTATTGCCTCTATCCAATTTTTAATCCTTTTCCAATACTTTTTAGCCTCCTCACAGGTCTCCTCACATAGATGGTAATTTGTTCTATGTATTGATTCACATTTCCAACATTTTGGGGAGGTATTTGCTGAGATTTTTGCTAACCTCACTGGTGCTAGGTGCCATCCATAAAACATTTTGTACTGGTTTTCCTTGTATGCAACTGATAGTGTCATTTTTAAATTTGTCCCCGCAAATTTTTCCCATTTATCTAATTCAATATTGTAGCCAAAGTTCTGTGCCCATTTTATCATCTGTTCTTTCACGATTTCTTCTTCCATTTTATATTTCAGGAGAAATTTATATATTCATCTATCTTTCTGAGCTTTGATTTATTTTATCTAGTTCGTGTGGTTCTGTTTCGATGTCATATAATTTAGTAGATTTATTGTATTTAGTTTTGATTTGGAGGTAAGTTAGCCAGTCAACTTTCATGTTCTGATCTGCCAATTCTTCAATTGTTGTTAAATTTCCCTGTCCGTTCATTAATTCTCTGTATCTTAACATTTTATTCATATCTGTAAAATTTGGGTGCATCGTCCTTTCTGTTGGGGATTGCCAATTTGGGATTTTTACATAGTGGTTTTTTTAAAAAAAATTGAGCCAGTTTTGCAATAACGCCTTTCTAATTAGATGTTTTTGAAAATATTTCTTTTTTTTTTTCAATACATTTTATTTATTTCATTTTCATTTTCATTTTATACAATCACTTATATACTGTGCGTAACAAAAAAANTTAATAACATTTGTATGCCGCCCAATCCCGTGGGACTCCGGGCGGACCTCTGACCTAAGGATTGCTTTTCCTGGGTGTGCTCTTTCTGGAGATCTTAAATGACGTCTCTGCTAAAGGGTTTCACTTTATGACCAAGAGTTGGCTGCTGATAGTTATCACCGCATTTCAACTATTTTAATTCCTCAAGATGCTATGCCTCCCTTCGTATTTTGTAACTCTGTCTTGCAAGTCTTTTTAATCTAATGATTGGTATTTAGGGCAGCTTTTTGCAAGCAAAGAAGCTTTTTGTATTTTTGCACAGGTAATCCTTGACTTACAACAGTTCATTTAGTGATCATTCAAAGTTACAATGGCACTGAAAAAAGTGACTTATGACCATTTTTCACACTTACGACTGTTACAGCATCTCCACAATCACGAGAGGCCAGGTGAGGAGAAGCAACTCAATGTGAGTGATGTCGAGTTGACCACGCCCACCCAGTCACATGACCAACCAGCCACGCCTACCAAGCTGGTTATTAGGGCAGAGAACCGGTTGTTAAATTATTTGAATCCCACCAATGGCTATATTGCTTGAGGATTAAAATTAAGCAACAAATTGATTGAAGGATAGATGAATGTATGGACAGTGCACACAATCCTATGGTTTCTTACCTTTTTAAAAGAAATATTCACTGTACTCCTATCTTAGAAAAGTTCATGATGGATTAGAAAATATAACATTTTACAGAATTATCATACAATAAGGATAATGAAGCTTCAGACTACAATAAATTAGCCTATAGTCTTAGATGATGGGGTTTAAGAAAAGTCTAGCATCAAAGAATATTATCCAAGACTTAAATTGTATAATAAAAGAATACCAAGACATTTGTCCAAGCACCTTTTCCTTCTTTTTCTTTTTACACCATAAAACACAGCTGCAATTTGACATCTTTCTAAATTAAGGAGATTCCTGGAAGTCAGAAAATAGGAATCCTGCCTCAGCAGTAAAATCACAATTCACCATATGAAATAGACAACTAAAATATACTTCCTGGAATTATTTTAGAAAGCTGACTTACCAAAACTGCACATTCCACATTCAGAGTTTTTTCTGGCTGCGCTGGCATACTATGTATTTCCAAAGAGAACCACACTTTGTAGCATGATGACTTGTATTCTGGGAAGGAAGGTAGGTAGGAAGGAAGGAAAGAAGGAAGGAAAGTCCTGAGTTTCAGCTGAAACAGTTCAAGCACATTTAACATTTTAGTATTTAAATTACTATACACTTTTTGAAGTATCCTGAGTAATTTACACTGCCAAGGAACAGAATGATTTGAGAGATTTATTTTCTTGGGATTGTAACAGGACCAGTCACTATATTAATTAAATTACATACACTGGAATAAAGGTTGGAGAATATAGGCTGGAAACCCTAAACCACTATGTGCTCTCTAGAGTCAGTATGTCATCAGACTGATGAACATTGGATGTCTTAGACAATGAAATCTCTCTCTCTCCCCCCCCCTCTCTCTCTCTCACACACACACACACTTATTTATTTATTTATTTATTTATTTGGTTTATATAGCCGATTTATATTTATAATGGTATGCTCACCTCAACTCAAGTTTCATAGAAATCTAGAAACATACAATCTTAGGGTTGGAAGGGACCTTAGAGGTCTTTTAGTCCAATTCCCTATTCAAAGCAAGAGTGCTAATACCATCTTGGTCAAATAGCTGTCTAATCTTTTCTTTAAAACCTCCAACAATGAAACATCCACAACTTGAGAAGCAACCTGTTCCAATGCTTAATGTTCCATTGGAAAATTCCTCTTTATTTCCAAATTGGAGCTTTCTCTGACAAGCTTTCATCAACTGCTTCTTATCCTGCCGAACAGATTTTATCGAAAATAATAACTTTTCTGAAGCAGTCATTCAAGTATTGGAAGACTGCTATCATATTTTCCCTCAGTCTTCTCTTTATTAAGTTAATTAGCTCTTTTAGCCATTCATCATAGGATTTAACCTCCATTCCCTTTATGATCTTTGTTGCTCTTTTCTGCATTCTTTCGAGGGCTTAAGCATCCTTTTGGTATTGTGATGACCAGAATTGGATGAAGCATTCCAATTGTGGCTTCATCAGTGCAGTATAGACCAACCAATTTTGTTGTATTTATTTTGTACAATGACAATAAAGACTATACTATTAGGACTATTACCACGTCTTCCCAAAAATAAGACAGGGTCTTATTTTCTTTTGACTCCCAAAATAAGCACTTGGCCTTATTTTTGGGGAGGTCTTATTATTCTTGAGGTCCAGGAGGCAGCAAGTGTGGTCACCTTGTGGCTGCTGCTGTTTTGCAATATTTTCAGGGAGGGCTTATTTTGGGGGGATGGCTTATTTTCAAGGAAACAGGGTACTTGCTTTGATCTTGATACTATACCAGAAGTGGCATTCAGTCAGTTCTGACCGGTTCTGGTGAACTGGTAGCACAGAGGTGGGTTCCGGCTTTTTTTACTGCCGGTTTGCTCAGGGATGTGCTGCATGCATGCACAGTAGTAAAAAAAAAGTTTCTGCGCATGTGCAGAAGCAAAAACAAGATGGGGCATGACAGGCCAAGTTACTACCTACTCAGCCAAGTTGGTCCAAACTGGTAAGAACCCACCTCTGCAGTAGCAGAAATTTTGAGTAGTTCAGAGAATCGGCAAATACCACTTCTGGCTCCCCCCCCCCCCAATCTATTTTCTGCCTCCCAGACTCTCCGCTGATCGGCTAGAAGGAAAAAAAAATCAGGGCTCACTTTTCAGCCAAAAGATTGCATGGCAAAGAAGAAGAAAAAACAAGACACAGTCACTTTAAATTGACAAGCCATGAAGCAGCTGCTGGAAGGAGGTTTTTAATTGCAGAAGTGAAGTGACATTCAGCAGTTCGTTTCTGGGTCAGCTGAACAACAAACTGGATAAGAGGAGAGATTCTTATATGGTTCTATGTTTTTGAAGTTTTGGGATTTGTGCAATATGTGCAATATGGGTGTTTCTAAAAGTGTTTGGGTGATTCCCATTGTGAAATATCCTATCTTGAATGGGTTTTCTACTGATCTGTTTGCCTTCTTGGAAGTTTTTTTTTTTTTTACAAACATACAAAATACATACACACAAAACGTATATGTACACTACATTTACACAATACAGTATGAACAGGAACCTCCTGTTCTTTCTAATAGCAATTACAAATTGATACAATTCTCCTTATGTTATTTCCCCTTCTAGTATATTTCATTTGCATTTCACCATTTTTAACCCTCTTATTTTACTCATCTATCTACTATATTGAGTGATTACCTCTAGTAAATTTAAACTCTCTTGAGTGGATATATATATATATATATATATATATATATATATGTGTGTGTGTGTGTGTGTAGTGTCACAACCCCTGGTATGCCCCAATTATGGGAGGAAGNTGGCAGCGAGTCTAGCGGAGAGCTGTCCCCATCCCCGGTGACCGGGGCGGAGCGGGGGTAGCGAGAAGGCAGGCCTGGCTCTTCTTGGCTTCTGCCTCTCCTTGCAGCATACAAGAAGCCCCGCGATCTCCGGTCTCTCTTAAGATACGGAAACTAAGCCCGGCACCTGATACAGACGTCACAAGGGAAACGGCCAATAGGAACGGCTCGTGGTCACAGATCAAAAGAGGAGATTGCGATGGAGAAAGAGTATCCATTAGCGCTGCCCTCCCTCCCGTCCCTACTTCTGCGCATCTCGAGACCACCGCGTAAACAGAATTTGCCCCGAAGTTTTTCCCACGGACAATGAGCTCTCCCTCACACCTTTTACGCACGCGAAAGATTAAAAAGCTAAATTTACTGCCACACATGCCTGGAACGCCTGCAAAGAAAGAATGGGAATGCGGGGAAAAGTGTGAAGGAGAAAGAGCAAAAACCAACCTGTCCTTGCACCATTCTGACGATACAGCCATGCGCTGCCAGACTCCAAATAAGTTCTAACTAGGTTACCCAGCCCATGCGAGCGGCAGCGGATGGACGGGGGAACGAATGAGCGGCTCACTCATTCCCCACCCATCCGCTCGCTCACACGCTACAGTACCCAGCCCATGCGAGCGGCAGCGGATGGGCGGGGGAGCGAGCTGCGAGCGCCAAAGTAAAGCGGTTTTTTTTGAGAACGGCCCGGGACATGGGAAAAATTATGAAAAGGTGTGCCTGTCCCGCCAGATGCGGGATGTCTGGTCACCCTATCTATGAACTTTTATCAATTGTCATAAATAAGGTTGACTGCCTGAAAGAATCTTTTGCAAAGTTTGTTAGGAGCCACCCAAATACTGCAGAAGGACTTGGGAGGACAATCACGGATAGATATGGGATAGCTAATACATAAAATGAAACTAGAGAAGGGCCTTGTCTTCCTTTCAGAAATGTGAACACTCATAAAGAAAACACTCAATCAGGCAAAGGCCTAAGAGATGACCAGTATAATTACAGTCTGCAGACTAACCATGTTGCCTTGCAAATATACAACAACAGAGCAATTAGAGGGCGTTGGAGTAATGGAGAAGCTGTTAGGCTGTCCCTGAGCCAACTGCTGCACTGTGAATTCACTCTGATAGATCTACGACAAGCAGAGTGGCTGCCAGCAAGAAGGCAATGTATGAGAATTCTACTATCATTCACAATTCCCTCTATGTTCTTTAGAATGAAACCTTTTCTGAGCACCTTTTCAATATTTCCAAAGTGGTCTTTTGCTCAGACAAAGTATGCCCACTCCTGAAGCAGCTTCACCAAGAGAGAACTGTTGCTTTAAATCCAGACTCCACCTGTGCTCATGCTGATAAGCCTGAAGCTGCTGCAGCTGAATTGACTCTGAGAAGGCAAGGAAGTGATATGCAAACTGTGTTACCCTCAGCTGCAGAAACTGCTGAGGATGTGCCAGAAGAAATGCGGATTGACCTATTCAGTGTATTGCCAGAACCTGAGCAAGTTAATATTATTCAAAGATTGGATGATCTAAAAGAGACTCTAATAACAACTCAATCTACAGCAAAGCCTCTATTTAATTTGGCTCCACTAATTGCTCAACCTTGGGACAATATATTTAACCAACCATCTGCCTTTACCTCAATAGTAAACAAAGATAGTGTCACACAGGCTGACAGTGGGCTAACTGCATTGACTGACTCAGACTCTGAGAAACAGCTGAAAGACAAAGGTCTTCATCACATGGTGCCCCCTAAGGACAAACACTAAGAATATAATCCAGCTTCCATCCTCATTTGATTTAGAAGTTCCCACATCATCATCTCACAAGATGAATCCTCAACCTCCAAAAATGAACATAAATCTACATTTATAGATCTATGCCAAAGTACCTGCCCATTTGGAAAAAAAAATATTCTTGGAGCAAGGGCAGAGGCACAATCTAGAGGAGCAACAAGTTCTGCAACCCATGAGGAGAAATATTGAACCTCACAACAACTGTGTTTTTATGGGAAGCCTAGATGATATCAACCCAGCTCCAATGTCAAGTTGACATCCAGAATTTTTACCAGCTAGCCAACCAACCAAGCCAGAGTACCTTGCCTCTGGGAACCCCATACAGATGATGACCTGAAATGTAGCTGGCTGGAAAGGGATGGTTGATAGTGGACTAATGAACTTTCTCCCTAAATTTGACGTAATAGCTTTTCAAGAAACCTGGTTAACCAAAGTGGACAAACCAGTACAACTGCCAGGCTTTTAGGGATGGGTCTCTTCAACCCCCCCCCCCCAAAGGAAGACCCTCTGGTCAGCTATGCATTCTTAAAAAGCAAGAATTGCAATGGTAGCGGGAGAAATTATATAACGAAGATAAGTATTTGTACTTCCTAGCTGTTAAATTTGAATATGACAAGTTTGAATTAATATTGGTAAATGTGTATATCCCTCCAAACACATTCCGGTATTATAACTGAATACTGGATAGGCTTGGAAGTTACCCTAGATGATATATCTGTATTGTACCCTCAGTCCATTGTGGTATTACTAGGAGATTTCAATACTAGGTTGGGTCCCTCTTTGTATGAGCTCGCCCAGAATAAGGGAGTCCCAGGGGAGTTTTTTTGATAATTATTGCCAATGGCTCTTGAGAAACTGCAAAAGTAATGCTGCTGGCCTGCTTCTTAATT